CTGGGCTCCTGCGATCCTTCTGCCTCGGCCTTCCGAGTAGCCGGAATTACAGGCATGTGCTACCACGCCCAGCTGATTTTTTTATTTATTGTAGAGATGAGGTCTCGCTGCCCAGGCGGGTCTCGAACCCGTGGGCTCAGGCAATCCACTCACTTCAGCCTCCAGGATTACAGGCTGAGCCACCGAACCCGGCTTACTTCGATTTTATTTGGGTTGATTTTACTGTTTTTTTCCCTAACTTCATGAGACAGATTAATTTCAATTTTTAGATTTCATTAGTTTCAGCCTTCCTTCTTTTCTAATATGTTCATTTAAAGCTGTCATTTTCCTCTAAACACTGCTTTGGCTGCATTTTATTGTTTTTGATATGTAGTATTTCCATTATTGTTCTTTTATTTAGCAAACACTAAGTACCAGCACTGGGCTAGATGCTAAGAGTTCAGAATAAATCCATCCTTCCTTCCATCCATCCATCCATCATTATAGTCATTTAACAAACATTTGTTGAGCATCTCTTCTGTGTAAAGTTCTGTGCCAGATGCTGGAGCTCATGCTAGGACTTGAAGGATATGAAAAAGATAGGAGTATGGGACAAGGTTGGGGCAGGACCTTTAAAGCAGAAGTATTAGCCTGTGCAGAGAGGCACAGGGGCATGGAAATGCATGATGAGGCTAGAGTGATAAGGAGTGGCTGGTTCACTGAGGGCTTTGTGTATGCTGTGGAAAGATGTTTCGGTTATAGTTTTTGGTGGAAATGAGAAGCCATCGTGGAATGTAAAGTAAAGAAAATAAACAAGTTTTTTTTTTTAAGAGGTATTCTAGCAGTAGAATAAGTCTGAGGGCTGGGCACAGTAGCTCACGCCTGTATCCCAGCACTTTGGGAGGCTGAGGCCAGAAGATTGCCTGAGCCCACAGGTTCAAGACCAGCCTGGGAAACATCGTGAAATAAATAAGCAAGCAAGCCAGGCATGGTAGCATGGGCCTATCATTCCAGCTACTTGGAAGGCTGAAGCGGAAGGATCACTTGAGCCCAGCACGTTGAGGCTGCGGTGGCCATGAGCATGCCACTGCACTTCAGCCTGGGTGAAAGAGTGAGACTCTGACTCAAAAAAAGAATAAATCTGAGGCAGACAGATCAGTGAAGAGGCTTTTGGACTAGGTTCAAAGCAAGAAGGACAGTAAATGTGGAGAGGTGGAGATAGATTCCAGAGATACCTGGAGTTGGAATCAGCAGGACTAGAGGATCCTGGGGAGTAAAAAACTAAAACAAAAGAGGCATAAAGGATCACTTCCAAGTTTCTGTCTTGTGTGGCTGGATGAATGGATGGTGGTGCCATTGACTAGGATAAGGAATAGCAAAAGGGCCACAGGCTTTGGCAGAAAAGTACAAGTTCAATTTTGAACAGACTGAGCTTGCCAAAGAAAGTGCTAGCCAAGAGCATCTGGTCTAAGGAAGCAGAAATAAGCAAAGGAGCATTTCTGGAATTGGAGAGAGGATCAGTGCTGCAGCTAGCTTATGTGGTGCCTTTGTATAATTTATAAAAGGTTGCCGCTTCTGGGCAGACCAGTTAGAAAAGGCAACCTCTCTTCATAGTAGACTTAGCCATTTGACTTGGCAAGCCCAGACTGGATTTCAGTCCCCATTCAACCCTTTGGCTGGGCATCTATGTACAGTCCACAACCATACACAAGGGCTTTGGGACTTATTTTGGGCTTGAGAATGTGCCTAAAGGCTAGCCAAGGCTAGATGTAGCGACTCATGCCTGTAATCTCAGTACTTTGGGAGTCTAAGGCAGGAGGGTCATGTGAGCCTAGGAGTTCAAGACTAGCCTGGGCAACATAGTGAGACCCCCATCTCTACAAAGAATTTTTTTTTTTTTTTTGAGTTGGAGTCTCACTCTGTCGCCCAGACTGGAGTGCA